TATATATATATATATATTTATTAATATTTTTATTAATATTTTTATTAATATATTTATTAATATATTTATTAATATATATATATATTAATACATATATATATATACATCATAAATTTAGAATTCGTTAAATGTGAAGACCACTGAGAAATATATACATTTTTGTTTATTAAAAAATTATTCAATACAATAATAACTGATGTAGAATAAATCTGGCACAGATATAATTTAGTTATGTTAGATCATACTTAAAGCAATGCATAAATGTACAAAGTGCGTACTGTTCAATTTTGTCTATTAAAAATATTTTAATATATTCCATTTTGTGACCTTGAAATGCACTATATGTGTATTTTGATCTAATGAAGAAGTTAAGTACGAATCTGATGATATTTAAATATGTTAAGTACTTATATATCTTTAAGGTTTTTTTTAATATACATTTCAGTATAAAAGAAATAATTAAAGCTAATTATAAACATTAACAGCCCCGAAATAATATCTTCTAAAAATAAATATTAAATATTTATGCCCATTCTACAATATCATTTACCAGTAATCGTGGAGCTTTATTAATCTAATAATATAGTATCAATAAACATAAACAATATTAATAATCACGATTTTCAACAATTTAACATAATATTCAGATTACAACATACTGCACATACATTCATAATTATTTCAGATTAATATAATTTGCAAAATGCCTTTTAATGTTATTTAGGAAAGAAGAAACTTTATTTATGACCTCGAATTGTATGATTAAAATGAAATTTTGTTATGCCACTTACTGGATTTTAATACAGTGATGTATGTTTGAATGGACTTGAGAAATTAAATTATGAAGGAAATGAATGTTACGCTAGCTTAGGCTTGCCATTGGCAGTGATGGTGGCATTCAGTGTTGTATTTGTAGCCATTTCAGCAGCATGTGCCACTGCTACAGAAACTGACTTCTCCATAAATTGTTGGTAGAGTGGTTTCATGAACTGAAGAGAAATAAAAATAATTTTTTATAATATTAATACTGGTTTGTATAATAACCTTTAAAAATTAATAATATATAAATAAATTATTGTAATTTTCGTTAATCTTATATGTGTTACATAATATGAGAAATGAATATGAAAACTGTAATGTTCAGTTAAAAGTATGATTTTATTACATTTGGAATGCGTAAGTTTTTTTTTATATTTGATTTGCACAGAAAATGAAAATTACAGTTATTTCTGTATTTACTATAAGCAATTGTCATACCTTTTTAGTATTCGCTCCTGTTAGCATTCAATTTATTATAAAAATTAAATAAGAAAAATAAAAAAAATGTAAAATAAATAGTACCAAAAATCGAAATCAGATAATTAAAATGTGTAGCACCAAAAATAGTGGAATATAGACATTAAATAACTAATAACATGAATATTGTTAAGAAAACATTCAACTGTACTTAAAATGATTCATAAACTTTGTGAAAGAAGTTATAAATCTTAGTAACATGCTGATTGTTAAAGAAATTATAAGTATGTTTCATATGCAGATTATGAAATAAATTATAAATATTTTGAAAAAAACATAAATATTCTGAAGAGGGAAGACATTTTTTCTGTAATATATCTTTTTTGGGAAAAGACTCATATGTATGTGTATATATGGATAAAATAAAATTAAACATATGTTTTATAAATTCCAATACAGCAGGGATGAGTAGAATAAGTGCAAATAGAGTACTTAAAAGCCCAACCTGTAGAAATAAAGAAATGGTAGGAATGAATTAGGAGACATGACAAAATGGTGAGTATTGGTTATATAAGGCGAGGCATTTAAATCAGGTCACTCTAATTACTTATTCACTTTCAGCAATGAAAAAAGAAACTCCAAGTAGAAGTTGTTGGGATTCATAGGGATTGTTAAATGATGGCATTGTAATCGGTTGCAGGACTCAAGTTCCAAAACTATTTTTGAAGAAAATATTGTATTTTTCCACTTATTTTTGAATGGAACACATTTTTTTACAATCACTAAACCAAAGAAGATATTTGAGTGGTCTGTTTTAAATATTTCACCATGTATGAAATATTTACATTTCAATGTTAATTCATGCTGCATATAAGGCTGCAGTAAAATGAAAAATTTTTTACAATAGAGATAACATCTTAGATACATAGATTTTTTAATACAAATCAAGAGATATTTTATATATTAGTTCTAAACATTAAAGCTATAAAAATATTCATAAAAACTGCATATAAACAAAATTTTGGAAATGCTTTGGTATATACAACATATACATTATAAAGTTACTACTTTTTGTAGCTAGATTTTGTACAAGATATTTTTTTATAACTATACATAAAAGTGAAATAAAATTATTTCCTATAATATTTATTAGTATCAATAGAATGCGATATTTCAAAACGAAAATATATTTAACAGGTTAAAGTATTTGTAATTACAGCTATGATTAGTTTTTATTAGTTTGACGCTTTACATAAATAAAAGCTGGGAAAATATTCTTGGCTTTTGTAAAAATTCTGCATATGAAATATAGAACTAGGTTAGTTGTTTTTGCTTCCATAGAGTCTTTACAGGCATTTTTTACTATTGCATTGTTCCCCACATATACACACACGCGCACGTACTATAATAAAAGTAATCCTTTCAAAATTTTGAAATCCCTAAATTTTTATGTAAAGAATGAAAAATACATTACTTACATTATACCATAAGACATTTGCCACTTCATCTAATGTTGTACCAATTGTTCTCCAATTACCACTGTACCTGTAATAATAAAAAATACTTATAATAAGAAACCGATTCAGAGAAAAATAGTTTCTCTGTTAAACAGAACATTCTACCTTATATATGTCCATAACATAAGTGTTAATATACAGAGACCAAGAACCCAATTGAAAATATTTGCTATAGGATATAAACCAGTAAAACCAAATATTCCAGATAAAAAGTACATGGCCGCAGCAAGTGCGCAAAACACTGCTGGAGTGCGCGCTGCTTTAAAGATGTTTTTACTTTCATTATGTTCTTTAAATTGAATGAAGGCATCATCCATATCCTATAATGAGAAAGAAAATTTCATTTAAAGACGTATATTTATACATTTCTTTGGATATCATACATAATCGTATGTCTAATACGATAGGTAGTATAATGTACCTTCTTTAGTTTCTCCATATAAGTCAAACTGAATTCATCTCCTCCCATTTTTCTTTTATTTTGAAATACGTAAATAGCTTTATCGACACAACGTAAATGTTCGGATTCTAAATGTGCTGTTCCCAAAAATGGTCTTTTTCCTCCACAAACATCTTCCATTGATTTTATGTAAAGCTCTTTAGCTTCTGCGACTGCAGTTAAATTATTTGCTTCTGCTGTTGCCTAAAAATGAAATACACACGTAACAAGTGTTAAGGTAAAAAGTAATGGAGCAGATATATAACAAAGTAAAAGGAACTTACCACTAACATACTTTTAGGCTCGGGAAGTTCATCTCCTTTATAAATTTTCATATAACTTTTAAAGTATTCCAACAAATCCCTCGCTTTCACAACTTGACCATTAATTTTTTTTGTAACTAAACGATCAGGGGCTAATATCATAGGTATCAGTATTTTTAGCTGCTCCTTAAACTCTGCTTGAATTTCAGACAATCTGCCGTCGAATTTAGGATTTGTGGCGATATTAAGACCTGGATGTGGCATAAGGAAGCAAGATATATCTGAAAAGCAGGATTTGATATGCTTTCTTAAACTTTGTAATTCCGGATGCTGTTTGTCAGAAACTTCTAGCCTTCGTCGTAAAATTTTGTTTCCTCCTTCTGCCCCATAATTTGCTTCATAAGGGTAACTCCAGTCTCTTACTAAGAATTGCAACCTCTGGAACGGTGTGCGTCCAGATTTCTCTAAAGCCAGCCTACCATATTCAGTGAAAAGCTGCAAATGCTGAAGATCATCTTCTTGAATATTTTGTGATAAATTGTAAATTTGTACAGACGACAACATTGTGCTTAAAGCAAACACAGTTGCACAATCTCTGACTGTGGACTGACTGTCAAAAGCACCTTGTGTATCCATTAAAATTATAGCCACTTTTTCACCAGTTGGTAAAGTACCAAGAAAAACTTTCGACCACATCAATATCCCTGTTGTATCTCTTTCTGAACCTCCTTTCCATGAGAATCCGCTGAGTGGTTCATCTTCTTTGCCCAACCAAGAATCCGTTTCGTTGTTGTTGTCATACTATTATTATTTATTATATAATTAATGTCATATGTAAGTGTATGAAGATATTATTATGACTACTATTGTCAATTTATTCAATCTAATCTGTATCATACCTTACAGTTCATGTATCGAAGAAAAAAATCTAGCAGGAAGCTTTTGCCTTTTCTGAAGGCTCCTGCTACAGAGACAACAACTACACTTCTGTCTTTGATATCATCTTGGAGAAGAATTTCTGCCAGGGCATCCTCATTTAATTCAAAGGTGTGATCTGGATGAGCCAATATAATTTGTACTGGTCTTGCCTGGCCCAATATGTCTTCACTATTTTTTGGTATCTGTTCTATTCTTTCCTCCCAGCCTAAGTAATCTACGGAAATTTGCAATTAAAACCATATTTTCATCTTATTACATAATATCTCCATACAGACGAGCACATAAAAGATATCGTTACCTTATTCTAGTAAGAATTTACATTTATTTCATTCTTATTGTGTATGATTCCTTATTATATACAGAACAAGGCATGAATTTTAAGTTCAGCAATAAAATGAAAAGAATGCAACATTAATTAAAGACTTAAAATTTCTTCATGTATAATGGATTAAAAATGTATTTGTACATTTAGTTTCCTTTTACTAATCTTACAAGAATACAGTTTTCTTCGTTTATTCCCATTACTTTTGAATATAAGTCATTAACGTTTTTGAACAAACATATGCGTATGTGTAACGATATACTGAAAAATTGTACCAATGTGCTACATTTTTACAGTCAGTTGAGAAATAACTGAATGTACAAATATTTATTTTACCCATCATACGCTTCTAGACAATAAACGAATGAAAGTGAGCAGGGGCAAAGAAAGCATGGCATTAGAAGGTCGTAACACAATCGAATTGTCCAGTCACATGGACTTGTATGTGACCGTGCAATTTATTCCATGCGGCAGGAGAACAAACAATCCGAGAGCAACCGCTACCACTTACGTATGTAACGCGTTGACCTGTGACACGTGGATCAGAGCAACTGGTAGAGCTACAGGATTTAAACAGTTGCCAGAACACGTCCTCCTCGTCTGCTCAAGGATTCCGGTTAAACAATGCGATTTGCTTGAAATATACTGATCCGTTACGGGATTTACTTAACGCGAGAGTTACTTTACATTTCGAGGACAGTTGAAATACAGGCAACCCTCGAATAACACGAAATGTAAATACTTGAGTTTCATTGACTTTCAAATAACATGACCAAAAATTGCAACAATCCGAGTACAAAAAGATAAGGAACTCTACGATTTCTTTAAAGTTTGCTGTTATTACACTCGTATGTCCTCGAAGTCTCGTATAACATAGTTTTAAACAATACGGAACCAATTCACCGCATTCGAGGGTTGATTGTTTAATGAAATGCTAAAATGTAAATTTCAAAAACAATAAAATCACCAAACAATAATCCTTCACCAGTTACGAACAGTTGCCTTTAAGGTATTAAAATGTAACAAAAAGTGTATGCATAATTAGGGGAAAGTGAAATTGCCGAATCATCGGTGTTAACAGCGGTGAATCATTATATTCTTTTATATAGTGAATACTCTTGAAATGGTGCATCAACAAAGCAATAAATGAAAAAGTCAATTATTCCATGTTTTTTAATTGAATAATTTAAAAATTACCACGTTTTATTTCTATGTCTAGAGATAAAGAAACCTCGACATAGACACAGGTAATAATTATTCAATAATAAATGTGAATCTCAAGGGTTTCCTGTACTTTGCCTTTCAAGTACTGTTTCTGTGGCACGCGATTATGTATCTGGTGCGTGAATACCGTTCAAATGATAAAGCACGCGGAAGTCTCTCACGATTTACTTTCGATTTGATTTTATAATATACATATAATCGCACGTGAATCGTATTGTTAGCTGAGTTACGTGTACGCCGTTGTTTATACGAACGGTGTTCCGAGCATTCGAGGTATTCGGAGAATTTCTTCCCACTACAATGGATTTCACTGTAGGTGAGATATAGATTTCATTGTTCATCGACCTAGATTCGCGGAAAAACAAGAAACAAAGAAAAATACAATTTTACTTTCAATACTGATATCATTGTAATTAAAGAAGCACATCTAAAATTATTTGTACAAGTTTTTCTTTTACCATACGTTAGAATATAAAAAATTGTTTATACACACTGATTATAAATTTCCGTTTATATAATAATTATTTTCGTTTTATTTCCCGTCATTAAAAATTTCGTTTAGTTCTTTAATTAGAAAACTGCAAATACAGGTTCGCCTGTGTAAACAATGAAATTTTTACCGAAACCATGTTATTCTACGTTAAACTGTTAGTCAAATATGTATTCAGTGAATTTTACGAATGAATATTTGAAACGGACGCGTGGAAATTTGTTTAACTGACTCATAGTTCTTACTCAAATATTCAATATTCAATAATCTTAAATTTCTCAATATTATTACAATGATAGTAATACAATTTACCCACAATAACACCGAGTTATTCGGGGAGTTCAGCGAAACGTTGAAAAGTAGTGAAACATGATTATTTATGTGACTAGCCACAAGGACGCGGGACCATAGTCCGTCTCCCTTACAGATAATTTTTAGAATTACAATTTAATACGGTATGAAATACAATTTGAATAGTTTAAATGGTGACTTGTAAATTGCTGACTACATGAAAGATAAATTATATTAGACACAAACGAAATCTGGATATTAATGTTTTTAAGTAAAATAAAATATTTTGTAAAATTAGATCGTTGGATATCATAAAATATGTTACATACAAGAAAAAACACTTTTGAAGTATACTAACGGAATACTCCTTTCTAGCTTATTATTTCCATGATAAAATAATTTGTAAATAATAAATATAACAAAGAAACAAGTTAATACAATTGTATGAACAAAATGGTTGCGTTGCGCTGAAGGTAATCCCAAGCGCTATTTTATTTCCACAATCGAAAACGAAATCTCTGCTGCAGTTTTCTCTGATGGTCTCCGTGCAAAAATGGCCTGTTCCATCGCACGGTGTAGTTAGATTTTGTCACAGCCTCTAGGTTTTCAAAATCAATTAAAAAATATACGGAAAAATTGCGCGACGGGTGTCTTGCTCGGTTTCCGAATTGTTTAAATATGTTCAAACGTTTACAACGTTAACAATGTCTGTATTGTCTCATTAAAGTGAGTTTAAAATTGTTTTCTCTGAAAAAACGTTTGAGTAACTTTTACATACCTAACCCACAAATAATAAAGAAATTTGAAAATCTTTTCTTCAAAAATCAATTTCTCCAAAACTAAGGGTGGAAGGGAAAAATAGTTCCTAAACCAATATTCAGCACATGAAGATCAATAAAAATAAAAAATCAATTAATTCATTTATTGGCGATGGTTTTTATGAACTCCTTCAACAGCACCAACCGAAAACCTCAAAAGTAACACTTTATTACTTGATTATTACTAAACATTCATACAAATTTCAATAGTACCAGGTTAACGAAACTTCACCCAAAAGACGAATAAAATTTTAATACACCTAATTATTTAAACAAAATCTACGAAATAAATCTACGTTTATTTTTATTATTCTCGACTCTCTTTTCCTCGATGGTACGAGGAGTCACGCGATTCCCAGAGCTTGGCTCCCTGACACACAAGCGTCTTATTTGAGGCGAAGAGTGGATCGAGAGCAAGTTTCAGCGTCAACTGCGAGAAGAGCCTCAAACGAACCGGAGCGTTCCAATCTCACGTGACGAAACGTCTTCTCCGAGGGAGCCCCGAGCGATTACTTATTGCGAGCGAACGGCCAATTATACTTGCGCGAACGCTAATTCACCCTGCCTTCACC